AGAGTCAATACCGCCTTACCGAGGCTCGAACCCACAACTTCTCATATGGGGAACAACTTGGTGCCACTGGACCACAACGTCCAATCTCATACACAAGCAATTCAAGTTCGATCTCATTCACTTGAGTCAACGCGTTTTGATTAATATTCATGTACATTTTGCGCACTCATTCATCCTTAACCAAACGTCAAGGGATCAATTCTTGGCTTTGACTGTCAAGCTGAGTAGGCTTAAATCTCTAGACCGGCCAGCTGTCTCACCCTTAGACCACCTACAATTTAGCGAGACGATTAGTTACTTACTGTGTCTGATGGTGAAAATCCTGAGTTACATACAAAAAAAAAAAAAATGTATATTTTGTGTAGAGATATATAGATAGATTTGTCATCAATGAAAATGGGTGAGGATGGTTGGGAGAAGCATTGTAGGTAGTGAATAGTGATGGTGCAAATGGCCAAACAACTAAGGATCAGCCTAGTACGGAGACCATACGTTAGACAAGATCCCCAACTGTCTCCCTCTAAGATCAATGAGCAATGTGTGCAGTACTCAACTCGTGTGATAACCACTCACTCTCTCTTCCAACAAATCATGTTGATGCATGGGAATAGTACTTTTTATGACTAGTCAATCAGTGCAAGATAAATGCACAGTCAACTGGATTGGTCAGACAGTTTAAAAGATATAAGAGATCCTCAATACTGGTAGTTTTTGAAGAGTTTTTACGGATTAAGAAAAAAAAAAAATAGGAGGGAAAGAAAAAAAAAGAAAAATTTAAAATAAATAAATAAATAAAGATTTACGCGCCCGGCTGGGAACGTGATTGGCGCCTCAAGCTAAGCGAGACAACTTTAACCGTTGCATTCTTGGTGGGGCCCACATAGCCAATATAAACAAGCTCTTTATAACACCCACTTATGGCATCCCCCATTAGTGGGTTTTGAGGAAGCAATGCATACTTGGAAGAGAGAGAAGGAAATGAGTCATTAGGGCATCCTCAATAGTTTGAGGTTTTTTCTCATTTTATGGTGGCCCCAGCATACACATCATCCTCTAGTATCTCACTCAATCATAAAAACTCTTCTTCCCATTAGTGGTAAGTTTTTTCACAACTTTTTGTGGATCCACCATTTTACCTCCATATTTTAATTATTTCTTTATTTATTTGATTTATAAATTTATAATTTTAAAAGGAATAAAGGTTAAATAGGCCACTCAACTGCGCACAACATTGCAATTAAGTCATTGAACTAAAAAAGAATGCAATTGAGCTATTAAACAACACAAAAACATGCAATTTAGCCCAAAATGACTTGTTTAACTGATGTAGCAAGTTATCGATTTTGAAATTAATTTTTTAAAATAATATTTAATAAATAAATAATTAAAATATTAATTAAAAAAACAGAAACTGTCGGCCGGAGACGATTCGGCCGAATCGTCTCCGGCCGGCTTCGTCTCCAGCTATGGAGACGAGATCCCTTCGTCTCCCTGGCCATGGAGACGAAGCCGGCCGTATCGTCTCCGGCCGGCAGTTTTTTTTTTTAATTTTATAATATTTTAATTAATTATTTATTAAAAAATATTTTAAAAAATTAATTTTAAAATCGATAACTTGCAACATCAGGTAAACAAGTTTTTTTTGAAAAATATATCTGCGATATAGTATTAAATGATTGCACGATAGTGACAGGAGGGATAGAATCCCAGTACATAGGTTGTTCCTGATCAAAAGCTAGTGATGCTAAAGTATGAGCATGTAAATTTAAAGTTCGAGAAACATAACTTAACGAACAATAATGAAATAAAGATATAGTTGTTCTACACTGATCCACTACTATCCCAACATAGGATAGCATGGGCGTAGATGTTGAGCATATAGCACTCCGCAACTCTGAACAATCCGTGAGTAGGTCTACTGTGTGAACGTCCCGGTCCTTTAGCCATGATAGGGCTTCCTTGCATGCCAGTGCCTCCGCCATCATAGGTGAAAAGGCTCCGGGTAACCTTCCACTTGTCGCGGCCGTAAAAGTACCGTGTTGAGAGAATAATACCGCCGCATATGTAGCCTCTCCGGTACCGTGTCTGTATCCCGCATCTATATAACACTTCACCCGTCCATCTCCGTTTGCCGCAGGTGGTGAGGCAGACTCCGCAGGTAAACAAGTTATTTTAGGCTAAATTGCATGTTTTTATGTTGTTCAATGGCTCAATTGCATTCTTTTTTAGTTCAATGACCTAATTGCAATTTGGTGTGCAGTTGAGTGGCCTATTTGACCCTTATTCCATTTTAAAATAAACATAAATGAATGAACATACATAAATATTGAGATAGTGCTATGAATGAACATATGTAAATATGAACATACGTATAACATATCTACATATATATATATATATATATATATATATATATATATATATATATATATATATATATATATATATATATATATATATATAGGCGGGTTCAGGTGCGGTGATTTCTTATGGTGCGGCAACACCAATAGTTCAACAAATATACACCATCAACGTTAGGAAAATACACCACACAAAACAGAGTAAACAGAGCCCTGCATCACCAAACACACACCATTAGGTGTGAGTAAAAACACGATACACTGTTCGGAAATACACCATTGGGGGTGTTGAGTTATATGGTGTATTTTTTGAGTCTGTTGTGTATTTTGTAATGTTATATTACATTTCATTGTGGTGTGCTTTTATTACACTGTTGGTGCATATTGTTAACACTGTTGGTGTATTCTGGAATTCCGCCGCACCGCTGCACGGGAAGACCCTGCCGCATTTGAACTTTATTCTATAATATATATATATATATATATATATATATATATATATATATATATATATATATATATATATATATATATATATATATATAATTTAATTAATAAATATAAATTTAATAACAATAATAACTTAAAAAATTAAATTAATAATTTAGAAATAAAAACAAGATTTTTAAAAAGTTAAATTAAAAATAGAAAAAATAGCCAAAAAAAAAAAATGGGGGCGTGATTTTTAAAAATAAAATAAAAAAACAAATAGTCTTCAATTGAGAGTGACCGCCAGCTGCCAGCTCAATAGCTCATGCGGCGGACTAATTTTTTTTTTTTTTTTTTTTTAAGTCTGACAAAACTTGGGGTGTTGCAGGAGAAAAGTTTCTCCAAAAAGCAACACCCCCATTTGTTAAAAACTCATGAGGCAAAATTTTACTGTTCTAAAAGCTAGGTAAAATTCCCTTTTGGGGATGCCCGGGCATCCTCAATAGTTGGGGATGTTACCCCATATTTTTGTGGGCCCCAACATCCACATCATCATCCATTATCTAACTCAATCACAAAATCTCTTCTTCCCATTAGTTTTAAACTTTTTCACAACTTTTTGTGGACCCACCATTTTATCTCCATATTTTAATTATTTCTTTATTTATTTGATTTATAATTTTATAATGTTATAATAAAATAAATAAATAAATAATAAAAATTGCAAGCTTTCATTTCTCAAATTACAATTAAAATAAACATAGTAAATAAAATAAAAAAAATAAAAATTGGGAGTAGAATGTGTGAAAGATGTTCTATTTATTTTTTTTTTTAAATAAAATATAATTATTAACTAAAAAAAAAAAAAAAAAAACAGTATTGTGTGCCGTTGCAATTAAATGCCAAAAGTAACTAATTTCAGAGTGGCCACCAGTTGGCGGCCACTCTGAAACGCCCTGGCGGGCGCGTGTAATACACGCGCCCGCTAGGCTGAAGGGTGAGACACGCTGCGCGTCTCACCCTTTATTCATTTTATTTTTTTAAAAAAAAATTTCTGACATGAGTTTTCTTCTTGCAGGAGAAAAATGTGATGAAATTTTGTCTTTCCCATTTGTCAAAATTCAACACAAACAAATTTTACTGTTCTAAAATATGGCAAAATCCCTTTATTGGGGATGCCCTAAGTACAATAATGGATAAAATAGTCACGACCATTATACCGTGGATCATGATTTACGTTGTAAGGTGGATAACCAACATAAGTTTATATTTAGTACATTATGCGTTCATTTTTAATTAGTATATTAAAAATAAACTCATAATACACTAAAAATGAATATGTATCAAAATATAATGAATTTATTAAATAGTATTGTAAATTTGAACCTGCAATATATATACTAAAAAGGAATATGTATCTCACCCGTATATCTTGCAATGTGAACTAGACTCTCTTTATTCTTCAACTCTATCACCAAAGTACACCCCAATTTGGGCCATATGATACCTAATTAGATTTTGGATTTTAGATGACCAAGTTGATTTATGAGATCAAAATTATCTTTAAATTAAGAAACAAAATTTTATGATTTTTATCCCTTGTACATTAACACGGTCCACAAATATGGTCTATCTTGAATTGATTTTATTTATTTATTTATTTATTTATTTGACAGTCAAAGGAAAGGATTATTGTTAATGCAAAGAGGGTAAAAAAGGACAAATACAATTGGGAGGGACTTGATCTCAAGAATTTGAGTCAGAGAGCCGGCCGCTCTAATTAGGGTGTGAGCAATCTGGTTTGCTGACCTATTGATATATGTATATATAATGGAATTAAAACTCTTCATAAGATTAATAAAGGATTGGATAATAAAGTCTAAGTGAGTTCTATTAGTGGTAGTACTTCTCAGCTTATTGATCGTGCTTTGGCAATCTGTTTCCAGCCTAAGATTTCTGATATTCCGGTCTTTTAGCGAGAGAGCTTCTTACACCCTATTGCTTCAGCCAAAGCCGGGGATGTACAAGACATGTGTATATAGAGTATAAAAAAGAGTAATATTATATATACTTTCATTTTCTACTCCCTGTTTAAACGTTACAATTTGATATTCAAAAAAAAAAAATGGATCACAATTTTTATTCATTTCTTTTCTTCTCCCAATAAAATTAAGATACATAGTGGGAGTTTTACTTCCTTGGAGTCCTCCAATCATTTTCCCTATAAAAAATTCCGAGAAACTCAATTCACCGTACTGTGGCAGAAATTTTAGAACTAATTTTTTTTTTTTGATACATTGAGTTTCTTACCTTCGCTAGACTAATGCTAAGCCCTCAGAACCCCTATCCAAGGATGCTGGATGAGGTAAATCGCTAACTGCCCAATGAGTCTCCCAGGGTATGTATACTCTATGCACAAAGAATCTTCATCACCTCTGATCAATTTTTTTTTTTAAATATTTATTAGGTGATCCAGTTCCACAGACTAATTCTAAGCCCACAAGATCCCGTTCTTAAAATCACTGTAGAAGTAAATCACGGGTCGCGCAATCAACTTGTCGATCAAACCCTAGTCTTTATGCACGCATAAAACTCTTATATATCAATTTTTTGATGATATGCATTTGGTAGTCCCATCAACAGGCAAACCAGTTGAATAGCAATCCAATAATTCTCTGTTTGGCAAATCAAACAGATCAGAGCTAGTATCACTATCTCCCTCTCCACCATCATCATCACCATCATCCAACTTTCTATGTTCATTCTCTTCTGATGGGTATTTATCGGCCCAGTGATGAACACTCCTCTCTGGACTCTCACTGGTGAACTCAACCTCGTTTTCTGGGATTTGACTATCCTTGCATGATGACTTTCTGGGATTGTATGGATATGATGAAGAAGATGTAGTGTTGTGAGCAGTGTTTGATAAGGTGCTTCCATTTATGCTACTACTCATCCTTCCAGATGGGCTGTTATTAGCTGCTGCATTATCTTCATTATCTTTCATGGCGGATATCAATTTCTTGTTCTTTTTCTTCTTCTTCTTGTTAGAGCTAACTGTTAGGTAAAAGAGGGTATTCAAGCAGCTGGCTAGCCCTCCTCCTGGAGTTCTTGGCTGCTTACACTTCTGTTTCAGGGCTGCAGGTTTTTCCATTATTTGTACTGATGAAGGAAGCAATGATGATGATGATGTGCCTGCAGTTTTGTAACATTCATTGAATTAACTTACTGAAATTATAAGTTAAAACAAAGATTATGAAATTGAAATTTATAATAATAAGTGTTGGATGGATGCGTGCCAGTGACGGGCCAGCATCAAGTGGTTAGCGGATTGTTGGGCATAGGTCCTTTGCTGTCTTCAAAGTTAACACAACAATTCATGTTTTGGGTGTATCCATAGAAGCGAATTCGCCGCTGCCAGTGCAGATTCGCACCAACAACTAAGGTCGGCCCCCAAGGTTATAGGAATGTGCACTTTGCAACTATCAAGTGTATTTTTTGACAAGTAGTACAGGTACACTTATGATCCAAGACGTACTCTAAGAGCATCCCTAACAGTAGGTATTATTTGATTTTTGGTACAGTAAATAGTGACATGGGGAGAGAGAAAACAAGAGAGAAGAAAATAGTTCCCTCTGCAAAATTTAGATTTTAAAATAGAAAAATGATCAGATAAAAAAGGGAAACTATGCGCGTTTCGCGCATAGCAAAGCCAAGCCGGGCACGTGCAACAGGCCACAGCCATGAGTTTAAGTTAGGATGAAGGTACATACCTTGTTTGAGTTGAGGAGCAGCAAATGGGGTGGATGAATGTCGAATCGCTACCGACATGTCTAAGCTCTTCATTCTTCCACTTCTCCAGGCTTGATTGTTGCAGCTCTCTCTGATAAGCTTGTGAGACAAAGTGAAAGCATTGTTAAGGCAAGAAATTTGATGATGATCTTCGGAAAAATAGTTTGCAGCCTCGAACACTTCAAGCTCTCCGGAATCCTTTCTCCAATGCAACAATATTTTGGACATTTTTGATCTCTAATTTAATTTCTTGATGGAAGTAAGAGGCCGGTACAGAGATGAACGAAGTGTAGTACTGTGTGGGGTGGGGGCTAAGGTTATGGTCTTGTGGATATATATAAGTTTTAACAATAAACCTAAGGGCCCCTCACCTCTCCTGCTTGGGGGGAGTTTGACACAGTGATTTGAGTGTCTGTTTATTCCCCGAGATCTTACTCCTTACAAGGTAAGGAGTCGGGCATTTGTTGACCATTACAGTTACACTCAAGCTTTCACTACTAAGCTATGTCCGGGGAGCGCGGATATATATAAAATGAGAGGAATAGAGCAACTCTAATAATTGTGAGTAGTGATAGATTGGGTCACTTTTCAAGTGTAGTGGTCACTTGTAGGCGTATGGTAGTCAATTAGTATTGTATAGATCATACTATTAAATAATGTACATTTAACACACAAATAATGTACTTTTAGTATATTAAGAATGTACATTACATTTAGAAAAAATATATTATTTGAGTACTGAAAATATATTATTTTATAGAGTTTTATTACATGTACTCCCAATTCTTACTCCCTCAATTTTACTCCCTGACGTGGCGGACTCTAATAAGTTATTTTTTTTCATGTGGGTCCCAATACAAGTGTCTACATCAAGGTTTTGTGTGTGGAAGTAAAAATTGGGAGTAAAAAATGTGAGTACACGTAGCATTTTTCTATTTAATATAATGTATATTCGATACACAAATAATGTACTTTTAATATATTAAAAAAGTACTTTTCACTATGTGAATCATGATCCACACAATAATTTGCGTAGGGTAGTTGATTGGGTTGTTAGCACCAACATAGAATACATACGTACGTGTGTGTATTAGAGTAAAAATATCCAAGGTTTAAACCTAGTATAGGTCCAAGGGAGTACGTGTCCAACAGCTTGCATACAAAATGCAAAAAAACATAGACTTCAGCTCTTGTATGGTGTCAACTCAAATTCTGCTACAATTGGGCCGGGGATTAATGTACGAGTGAAGCGTTGTATATATACCTCCCTTGTGTGCAAATTACACAATGAACCAGGTTCAATCTTACATTGTGAATTCTAGTGTAAAATGACATTCAGATTATGTGCAAGGTCGATCAACCTTGTATACTACTTGTTAGGATTAAACGTTTACTACTAATCCAAAAATTATAACTTATAGTAGAGACATAACTTTATTTTTTTATATCGCCACAAAATCTACCAGAAAGATAAACATATATACCCTCACAAGCACATCCTCCACAATACCCTTAGGGTATTTAGTTGACCTATCGGTCAATTGGATGCACATCCTAGTAGGTGTGAGGGGAGGTAAATTTTGACTTCTCAAAAAGATAAAGAGGCATCAAGTTGATAGAGGCCGGTCCCCAAGTCGGCTAGCTAGGCTCTATCAAATTGGAGATCATCGATGAAGCAACTCAAGCAATGTGTTTTCTATTTGAATCATTTTATCAAACTATTTATGTTTCATATTTTGGTATAAATATTTTGTTTTTATAAAGTTTTGATGTATTTTGATTTCTCAATTCGCCATATCCAACAATATTTATAGTTATGCTTTTAAGTGTTTTTTTTTTCTATCTTTTTTGTATTAATCTTTTGCCCCACTGAAAAAAATTTCTGGATCCGGCCCTAGAACTTTTGACGTCATTAAAAAACATATTGTTCTACCTAAAAACTGTGTTTGAGATACTAACCCAATATAAGTTTTTATCATTTATCTTAAGTTACTTTTAATTTACTCTTTTTCTAAAAATGTCAAACATATCTATCAATTATTATCTTATCTTATAATCTTAATCAAGTGGAGCGCAGCTATAGTCTCTTCATGATCAATTATCCATCAGTGATAAGATGTTTTTCTCCCTACCTTATCTTTTTAATCATCAATAGGCAAAAGGCTAACTGTACTCACAATAATATATAATGGGATTAATGGCCAGATCGAATATGACTGTAACAAAATTGTAGACTTGCCACAGAAGGTGATGAGGCAAATTAATCAATTATAATTATCAAGTGAAAAATCATGTGTGGCACCTTTTGGACAATTTGGTCCCAACTTTGATTGGACATGGAATTGTGACTATGTCCCCAACCCACCCTCTCTTGTCTATGTGCTTAGCGTCGGCCGAGTTGGTCCAACTTAACCTCTGCTTGATTCTAGACGTGACAGTGTAACTTATCATGGAGGGATGCGGTTAAATAGTTAATGTCCACCTATTTATTACCAATTAGTTTTAAGTAGGATATATAGGGTAACCAGATAGGCAAAGAACTCTGTGGTTAAGCGAAGATTGTGATCCAACACTATGTATATATTCATCTTCATCTTCTATACATACATACACTTACAACCAATTTATTCCATGAAGTGGATTGTATGTATTCGATCAGGTGACATGTTGTGATGTTGTGTTGCTTTCTTCTACTATTTAGTATTTACCACCCACTCATGTATAGTTATAGATTTCAAGGTCGTTCTCCCACTAGTTCAAATATGTTGTCCAAATGTTCACTTCAAATAAAATAAAAAAAAAAATTATTCATAGAATAATGTGAATATTAGATTTTTTTTTTTTTGTTAGATCATGAGGTGTTCTAAGCAGGCTCTAACTATAGGAGGCACCTTTAAGGCTGTACCATATATACTCAGCACATTGTAAACATTTAAACATTTCCAAACACTGTGTGATGCATTTATGCATACCTGATGGAGTCCGCACCAGCGGCAAGGGAATCACTGTCCGCATTTTCTGGCTTTGGATCCCATGAGAACACACTCATATGAGAAAACTAAGAACAAATCTCAGTCTTACATCTGTGAAAATTTGATGGTTCTGATCAGATTTAAAAAAATAAAACGTGATCGGCATTTTCGTAATTATCATCAACTTCACTATGCAAACATGAACACTTAAATATGCAATCTTTAACAACTAAATATGCAAACCTGGTAAATTTTATAAAATCAATGAAAAAATAAAAATTTAAATCTAAACCATAGATGCTAGAATCACTAAACCAAATAAAACAAAAAAACAGAGTCATAAATTCTAAAATTGAAACCCTAAGTGCACTATACTTTCGCATTTTTGCAAGTGCAATCTTTTAATACTAAATGTGCAAAATGTTAGTACTAAATGTGCCAATCTAAAAATTTTGAAATTGCATATTTTAGTGTTCAAGTTTGCATAGTAAAGTTGGTGATAATTACGAAAAATGTCACAACGTTTTTTTTAATCAAATTTGGTCAATCCAAATTTTCCATGTGTAAGGTTGAGATTGGTTCTTACTTTTCTCCTAAGGACTTGTTATCAAATGATCCAATACCTATATATATATATATATATATCAGTTTCCAGAAAGCCCATACGAGTGTATAAGGCAAATTATACCATGGATCATGGTTTATCTTACATTGTAGACCTTGTAAGTACATAATTTATTAACTATAGATATATAATATATTAATTGTATATGCATAATCTGAATGTGTTTTAGAGCAGAATTCGCAATGCAAGATGGACCATGATAATATATGCTATAACAATTGGGTGTATATATAGTAGCTAGTAGCTAGCTGTGGTACAAAGGCCAAACAATTAGTAACAACTTGCCTGGTACGGAGAGCATGTGTTAGTTAGACAAAACCCTTCGAAATCAATGAGAAATAGTTATTACGTGTAAGTGTAACATGCATGCATGTATTTATGCCACCAACTACCAATATGACACTGATTTGATGAACAGAACCAGTTATTGTTGGAATCAGAATTAGCCAATTAGGTTACTTCTTCGATCCAGATTCTTTTAAAAATCATGATTGTCAATTCACATTCAAATTAGCTCGAGCACATAAAAAAGGAAATCCACCCACACACGTGAGAGGCGTATTAAGCATCTATATATAAATGTACAGTTGAACTATCAGTTTAAATTTTTAATTTAATTGAGTTTACGAAAAGTATAATACATTTGATGAAAAATATAATGTAAAAGTATTATATTTTCTCTTATAAGTAATGAACACTTTAATTTATTCTTGATTATTATTACATTTTTCAATATAAATAGACAATAGTGCATTTTCATATTGATTCGACCCGACTAGTCCCACGAATAAGGATCCAAGAGACAGTTTCACACAAGTGTGACCCGAATTATAATATTTGTAAATGATGTATGTTTTTTTTTCCATTTATTCATATTTCCACATATGAGCAATAATTTGTTGGAGAAGAAAATTAAATGAAATATGTATTTTGTCCCTTTTTTTAAGAGTAAAAATATCCATTTTTATATAAAGGACGAAAATCGTCACTTTTAAAATAATTGAGAAATTAATGTGAATACATCAATAATTCAAGGGAAAAAAAACCTTATAAGCATATAATTGAGGAGGAAAAAGTGTATTTTTTCCTACTACCCCCCCCCCCCCCCCCCCCCCCACACACACACACACACACATATATATATATATATATATATATATATATATATATATATATATATATATATATATATATATATATATATATATATATATATATATTCTCTCATATTAGATTAATCTACAAAGAAAAATGAGTTATATTTTTTATGGTTTTATTTTTTATGTTTAATAAAATAAAGATACAAGAAAGATTTTGATTTGACGACAGGCAGAGCTTTATTGGCTTTAAATGTGACATTACATCAACTATTTTACCCAAAGCTACACGTACGAAATATTTAGCGTTTCGTATATATATCTGTATCTTGCAAATCAAATCAAAAGCTGCTCCTTCAAGTCTCAGACCCATGTGCATTGCTCCTTTGAACTGTCACCCCACAATCTATCAAATATTATAATCTTCTCATGAGTTACTTAATGATATTGTACATGTTTGTAAGTATCCCACGTAAAAAAGATTCTAAACCAACATCCTAGATTGGAAAATTATGCATATCCATGATTGAGTAGTTGTCAGAGTGCCCGCACGGGCTTAGCTTACTAGTTCAGTAAACAGTATTTGAAAGAAA